TATGGAGATTGACCAATTAGCAGCAACGCCAATTTCCCTTACTTTCTGAACGAAGGCTTTTCTCGACGAATCCGATGATCTCGTGTCCTTAGACACACCCCATTATAGTTTTCCTCTGTGGCATCATCGGGACGGGAAAGGCATTCTCGCTCGCGATCTCACTGATGAGAGGAGTAACCCTTTACGACCAGTGAATATTACGCATCCGACTTAGATTTTGTGAGTACGTTCATCTATCATCCCGTCGACCGCGGATTCGTTATTGAACCTAGGATCATTGTCATTAGTTTCTCGAGTACCTAACTACCACGGTTACTTGTCCGGCTCTATAATAATCGTATTTGCACTAGTCAATGTCTTCTCTATTGCATAGCGACAACGTGTAACCCAAACGAAGATTCGTTTCACGCCCCTAACCCTAATTCTAATGTAAACCCGACATATATATTTATACTGTATATTTATCTATATATTATATATATTTATATTGTATATTATATCTATATATACTATATATACTATATATAGATATAAAATTTCCATGGTATCTTGTCGGCTTTTTTGTATAGATTCCACATGCATAATTTTTATTTACTAAATTATTATTCATTCGCCAATTTTTCACAAATTTACAGGAACCATAGACTCTGGACATTCGTACGCCGAGAGTTGTTCCCTAGACCCGGTGACTCACGACGTGATTTGCGAATGTTTCGATGGATACACCGGTCCGCGTTGTGAAAGCTGCGCGGAGAACTATTTCGGTAATCCTGAAGTTCCCGGTGGTAGCTGTGAGTCGTGTAATTGCAACAATAACACGGACTTACGTCGACCCGGAAATTGCGATCCTGAAACTGGACGCTGTCTTCAATGTCTCTACAACACTGATGGAACCAACTGTCAGATTTGCAAGGCAGGATTTTACGGAAATGCTCTAGAACAGGATTGCGAGGACTGCATGTGCGACGTTTTGGGTACAGATAGAAACGCTGGTCCTTGTGACCACCGAACTGGACAGTGTTCCTGCTTGCCTCACGTTATCGGTTTACTCTGCGATTCTTGTGAAGAGAATCATTGGAGAATCGCCAGTGGCCAAGGTTGCGATCCTTGCGAGTGTGACGCGGTTGGGAGCGTTTCTGACAGGTCCGTATGCCAATTTTTATTAAATATTTAAATATTTTCAAACAAATCTGCCTAAAAATATCGATTTTTAAAATGTACTTTGACCTGTTTTTGTCGATAGATGTAATCCGTACGACGGTACTTGCGAGTGCAGACCAGGTTTCGGAGGAAGACGTTGTAACGAGTGTCAAACCAACTACTGGGGAAACCCTAATGTCGAATGTTATCCGTGTGATTGTGATTTAACCGGTTCTGCCAGTCAGCAGTGCGACAGAGAAACAGGAATGTGCGTCTGTCACAAAGGAATCGGTGGCGAAAAATGTGATCAGTGCGATCGTGGCTACTATGGAAATGCGCCTCAATGCAATCCTTGCGGAGAGTGTTTCGACAATTGGGACTTGACGCTGACTGGTTTGAGAAACAAGACGAATCTTGTGATCGAAGAGGCATCGAGAATTCAAAAGGTTGGAACGACCGGTGTCTATAGCCAAGAATTCGACGACATGGTCGAATCTCTGGATCAAGTCCAAGCACTGATCAGTAACGCTTCCATTAGAAGTCAAGATTTGGACGAATTAAATGACTTGGCTATAGATTTGAATAATAAGAAATTAGAATCCACCAAGAAATTAGAAGAAGTGAACAATCTTTTGGAGAACGTCAGTCAAAGAGTAAATCTAGGGGATGCTGCTCTTAAAAATTTGAAAAATAGAACGAACAACTTGCACCAAGCTGCTGCTGATCTTAAAGAAAATGCGACTAGATTGCAGGAAGAGAATGTCCTAGGCGCTCTTAACGTTACCCAGCAAATGGCGGAACAGTCTAGACAAGCGGAAAAAATGGCCAACGACACTAGCAACGTTCTGGCTGACGCTGAAAGATTCCGCAAACATACTGAGAGCTTGTTAGCTAAGAATCGTGCTTTCGTGATAGAGGCACAGGAGAGAAACCAGGAGTCATTGAATAAAATAAATGAAGAATTGAAGAACTTTGATGGAATTATGCCAGGATTAAATCTCGAAATGTGTGGAGATAACGTGACGGATTGCAGCAGCGTTTGTGGTGGCGCAGGTTGTGGTTTCTGTGGTGGACTGTCTTGCGACGCGGGTGCTGTGACCAAGGCTAATCAAGCTCTGGACGTAGCTAAGAAACAGGCTGCTGAGATCAAGAACCACAAGGACGAGGCAGAACAGTTACTTCGTAATGTAAGTTATGACATATTTTTTCAATTTCGTTTCATAAATTTGCTAAAACGAACCTTTTATTTCGAAGTTTCCTATGTTGATCCAAATTTTGTTTGTCCAGATGGTTCAAGTGAAACGCGATGCAACGACAGCCAGGTCGAATGCTCAAGATGCCTTCAACTACGCCTTAAGAGCTCGTAATCTAACCGATACCTTGAGCAAAGATCTCGCTGACATAAACAAACGAGTCCGTAACATTTTGGAGGAGGACCAACCCACACCAGCTATGGTCAGAGACTTGGCCAACGAAGTATTGGCTAAGAACATCAAACTAAAGCCCGACGAGATCAAAATATTAGCCGATCGTATTAAGAGCATCGTCGGTTCCTTGACCGATTCCGAGAAAATCCTCGCGGATACTAGGGACGACCTTCAGTTGGCCGAAAAGTTAAAGAATGATGCTGACAGAGCAAAAGAGGAAGCGATCGCGAAACAAAATCTAGCTAACAAAGTGGTAATTTTATTGAGTGATGCTCAGAGGGCTCAAGATCGAGCACAAGCAGCTATCGATCAAGCTGAACGCGATGTCAGGAGATTCGAAAATGACTTGGAAGAGATAGCCGAGATGACCAGGGGAGCTCAGATGCAGGCAAACAGCACCACTCAGACGGTCGACTCTTTGGACGCTCGCTTGAAACAATTACAAACGCAATCGGTCAGAAACGATTTTGTTTTGAATGAAGAAATCAGGGTCGAGGCGCGGAAAGTAGCTGATGAAGCGCAAAAGGTAGATGCTAAGACGAAGGAACTCGCTATGGAATACAGAAAAGCGGACGAAGCGTTGAATTCGAGGGCGAACAAGAGCAAAGGGAATATATTGAGGGCGAAGAAGCTCTTACAAAAAGCCTCCGAGTTGACAGCCGATACATCGACGAAATTGAAGGACTTGGACGGTATGGAAAGTGTTTACAGAGATAACGAAAGAATGCTATCCGATTTGATGGCGGAGGTTGATTCTTTAAATGGAGAGATGGAGAAATATTTAGCGGAAATCGAACAAAAAGCCCAACGGTACAAGCACTGTACTCCTTGAGTGACTGTAATTAAAACGTAAAGAAGTAACATACATTACTATGACCGAATCAATGTGAATATAAAGAAATAATATATAGAATATAGGTCACTTTAAAGAGAGGATCGTGAAATCTTAAACCGAGACTTATTTTTCCTAAGAATTATTCGGATTCTATAATAAAGTATATTGATTCTAAAGAAACGAAGGAAATAATTTTTCCAGTGCCATAGTGGTAAACGAAGGGGGCCATTTATTTGTTGACATATTACGTATTTTATACACGCATTCGTACGTAACTTTTCGAAAATCTAATAATGGAGAATTCTTTAAATCGTTTTTCAACTAACCGTAAAAAGTGCCAATAAACGAAAATCGAATTTTCTCATTGCATTTATTATCATGGACCAAATATTTTTAAATGAACCGAACACCGCATAAACCGTCTACTATTCGAGAAAAATGATTGAGCTAGTTAATATATAATAGAAATTAAAGTATCAATATCGATTCCTGATTCACAATAAATGTTATTGTTCTATACATCTCAAGATAAGATTTGTACTTATATAAAATGTTGCATTTATTACATACATTGCATTTATAATAAGACACGGGTGCAATAGATAGATACAATTTTTATGAATAGTATGTAAATATATTATTACGCCTTTTCGCAAAACTGCATTTTTCATTGATTACATATTTTTAATGAATATAATCGAATTTCGATAAATTATTGTAGAATATTAGGCAGTTGTATAAATGTGTTATGTTATGGAAGCCACGAGATTTGAAATGTACGAATAATACGTGTCGAGGAAGTTATTAAAAATACCAAAAAGAGAATTCCTCGATAAAAAAGCATTATAGTTATTTATAAATCTATGTTTTAGAGTAACAACCGAACTATTGATATTGTCAGTAACGGCTATTATTGCATATCTGTTCTTGTTCGGGTGAGAAATGAAACAAAGCTTTAAGCGAACCAAACGATTTTTAATTGTATTTAATGAACAGCTACGTTTGTACAACGAGAGAGAAATACAGGTTAAAAAAAATAAATAATATTGAAAAAACACAATTTTTAATTTCATTTATTAAAAAGTTATATTTAACGTTATTTTGAATTTGTAAGAAAAAACACAAAGAAAATCTTATCCGACGATAGCACGATAACATGAAACATCGTGGATTTCGACGTGATAACAATATTTCCTTAACGTATGACTGTGTCGCTGTTAAAAGACGGAAGGACTTGCCGGAAACGTGGAACCGCGATGATAAAATATTTTCGTTGTTAGGATTTTATTTTAAATAAAGATCCCGTGTTAAAATATGTACCTGATATGTTCTGTATTATTCGAATTTACTCTATGTCGTAAGCATATTATTAATCATACAGCATATTAAAGCGAAGCATTATTAGCTTGAAAAATTATTTGATGTATATCATAAGTGAACAAAAAATTCTTATTTGAAATATTTTTCATAAAATGGATTTAGCAACTTTGAATTTTTTTGTACTTATTGTTAATTCTTTCTATAAGAGAAAATTAGGATAGGTTGTCAGGAAAGTTCCCAGCATATTTCAGTTCGGTTGATACATGTGTAACGACTCCTTTATAAAAATAGTATTTGTAGTTTATTATCACGGAGTCTGGTTTCGATCCACACGTGCACCCCGCTGTTTCGTGCCCCTGTCAAAAATCTTGACATCGTGTCCCGTCTGTCTGCATTTGAACTTCCTCAATTCATGTCGAATCTAACAGAGGTTCTCATTTAATCAATTTCCACATGATTTTACTATTCTTTTTATTTTTTAGAAGTTTAGAAACAATTAAATAAACGAATTAAGAATTATAAACATATATCTGAAATTATTGCCATTTCGTCAGAAACCAAATGTAAAGAACGCACGCGTCAAAATAAAATTTTTATGACGATGAAAAAATTGGTTATGTTTTAAAAAGCATTTACATATCTACCGTCGAAGACTTCTCTTCTTGCAGATGGATCTTTTTCATTTATTATTTCGACGCACCTATTCGTACTTAAGCCTTTTGGCTTTTAGAATCGACTTCAGACGCTGTAGTATTTCGTGAATAGACAGCACTGTTGAATTGAAATGGTGTATGGGCTCCTGGTACTATGCATAATGAGTTCATTCAGGACGCGCACCAGTGGTTGTCCGACATTACTATTAGAAACAGAATTTTGAAATTCTAAACAACTTGGAGCAAGTACATATATTTTAAAAAATGATCATTTACGTACGCATGTGAAAATCGTTTAGTGCAAATTGATGAAAATACGTAAGCTTGATTCGTGATATAGGAGAAAGTATCTCAGTCTAATGGTGATTCATCATTAACAAAGAGTTTTTCAATGCACAATTCACGACCTTTATCATTGATGCCTCGTGAAACTTATAAAACCGATTACTTTTATTGGACGAAGATTATGATTATCTGCAAATGCATATATATTAGCAAGCATTACGTACGGTCAGATTCTTAGTCTTTCCGGTCAGGATGTAAAGTATAAAGTTACAATCGGTTGCCGTAAAGAAATCGTTAATTATACTTCGTAAGCAGTAAAATAACTTTCTTATAAGTATATATGAAAACCATTGTAAATATTAATGTGGCCATTTTCGCTGTTGGTTATTTTATTCTGTTTCATTTTAATATTTTTATCGTATTTATGTTATCGATATTTATATCTATATTTTATCGAATAATTGAAAAGTGTTAAATGGACACGGAAATTATAAAAATATTGGAACTGTACCGGTTTAACACGAGTTATAGACGAAATTTATCATTTTTTCAAATAATTGTTTATTAAATTTACTCGTAGTGTATGAATCGAATATTGTTATAATACACTATTATAGTATGTATTCAAGTAAAATAGTAAAATTTCTATGTGAAAGCTTAAAAGCACCACTGTTAATTGAGTAGAAAAAAATTAATCAGTGTGAAAGTGTGAATGCATATAAGACGAGCCTGCTTTTGGATGCTTTATCGTAGATAGCTTATCGGTAATAAATATAGACGACGGAATTCCGGCGTTTTTACACTAGCATTATCTATACATTTGCCTCAAATATTTGGAACACAACCAAAAAATCGATAAGAAATAAATAATAAATCGATGAAAATCGATAATAAATGCAATTGAAAAATTTTTAATGGTTCAGACACATATTTACGATATATAATTTATCCTAAGAGATATTTTCAGCGAAAAAGCCCTTTCGAATTAGTTACACAATTTCAATTCCATTCCCAAGAATATTTGCCAATGATGTAATACCTAGCTAGTTTACAGACGCAAAAACCTTCCTGTAATCATAAAACAACAAGCTATGTAAATTGAAAATTATTTCCGAAAGGACGAAAGCGAAAATAACGAGATGAATTCGTTTTTTTTCTCAAAGATAAAATATTATCGTAACGATAGCGAAGGTTTAGGTAAAATGTCCATTGTATGCACAGTCTGATTACACGAACCTTTCGCCCTAAGTTTAAAAGTTTAGTCTTCGTTGTCCTGAAAACGGCTATAAGAATACTGTTCTTCTCACGGTGCATTCCTTTACTAGCCAGGTTACGTGAACCGGTCCAATCGGGGTTGGTTATGCAAAACAGCTTCGGTTTGGAAGGTGAGGCGATTTTCTGGTATTTTCGTGTTACTTTGGAGAAAAGAACGAATTCGTATGGAATTTTCCTGACAAAGGAACGAAAGAAAAGCATTACATTAAAATGTATAGATGTTTAGGAAGACGAAAGAAATAAAAAGAAGAATTAGTGGAATTAGTAGAATATTCTATAACAAAAAGGTATGGGACACGTGTCTAGCTTTAAGGTTTGGAAATAAATTCTATAGAATTTAATGTTAACGATTTATATTATACTTTCTTCAAGCTTTTATACTTTAAATGCGACAAGCCAAATCTTCCGTTTGTTATGGAAGAGCAATTTTAAAATTTGATACGCTGTTAATCAGTCCTAATATTATTTTTTACATCGTTTTGAGATTAAATTGTATTTTTGCTACACATTGGTTTAATTAAATTTTCTATGTAGATTAACAAATGTAGAAATAGAAAAAAGGTAATAATAAAAATTGGGATAAAAAGAACAGATATGTATTTCTCTTAGTTTTTGCGAATTAACGATTCTCGGATTTAGGATCGACAGGCCAACGAGAATTTTCCAAGTTCACTTTTAATCACAGGGTAGAGGACCAGGTGAAACTTATCGAGGGGATGAAAGGGACGCGGAGGGTAAGTTTTGTTTGTTGGACCGTTCCTTTCGATTGTTAAGCTCTGGCTTTGTGCCGAGTCCGCCAACAGCTGGCCTCCGGGGTGGTAAGTTGTCTTTATAGCTATCTTTTAACATCAATGGGGAGTTAAGTTGCATTGAAATTTTTCATGAGAAAGTCGACGCATAATTACGTTTACTACGCTTGATGGGACTCATGCTGTGGATAAAAAAGTACGATAAAATAATAATATAGTAATACTGCATTGTCCTAACTCTAGTAAAAATTATACGATTATTTCTTATCGTGGTATATAAATAATAATCAGGATATTATTAAAATATTATTTCATATTTCGTCTGTATATGGGTGTAATTCATGCTCCATATATTATTTGAATCCTAACAACTGATTACTGCTTAAAGGCTCAAATAAAATGATCGAGTAGTGCAACAATATATTAATTGAATATTTAAAATAATTCTCGATTGAGAATAAGCTTGAAAAAGTTTAAACAAATTGAAGTAACTTAATTTTTCGACTATTGAGTATCCAATGAAGAATCAATTAATTAATCTCCATCGAAAGTTCAATGATTTTTATACGATTCGTTCTTCAAATATCAAGTATATTACATACTTGTTTTCCAATTGAATTATTACATTTTCATCGGATAATCGGCTGATAATAATATAAATAAGTTATTACTCGACACTTTGCGCCAATAATGTCCAATCGATACACTAAATTAATGGAAGAATTAATGGCCCGTGCAGGAGGAAAAATGTGCAAACGTTGCCATTCATCGCCACCCTCTGGCAGCGGGTTGACCGCGTTAATTCCAGCGCGTGTTAATCGTGACACGACCACCGATCCCTAGACTATTTCGCCATCAGTCCGATCTCACTATAAGGAACAACCGTCAGTATGTGAAACGCGTGCCGCGAGGAACGAACTAACCATAAAGCTTGGAACTTTAGTGATCGTGTTTTCAACCGAGTCGTTTACAGGGTGAAACTTTCAACGCAATAACAACAGTTAAAAAGCAAGACTTTAATAATTCAAAGAAATAATTCCCTTCCAATTTTTGTCATTGCATTTATGTTACATGTTTCTTCCTTTACGTTGAAGTAAATTGATTTATGGAAAAAGAGAAATGTGAATGTGATGTGACTCGTAGTTCTATGTGAAAAAGAATGTAGTTGTGCTTCGATTAATTAAAGTAGGATTTAAAGTAGTAATTAATTATTATTTAATTATTCAATTAAAGTAATATTAGATATAGTAGAAGGATCTTAAGTTCGAAAAATTAAACGTGGACTTTCGTTTTGTGGTTATCGAAGGACGGATTGTAATCGAGAAAAATGCTACTGAAGAATTGGTGATTCTGATTTGAGGTAAATGCCGAAGACTTATAAATATATTGTCGCAATATTTGTTATGTTGAGACTCGTAATTTACGTAATGTTTTTCTTTAGACTATTTGTAAAAAGATAAATGCCGAAGACTTGTAAATAGATTGTCGCAATATTTGTTATGTTGAGACTCGTAATTTACGTAATCTTTTTCTTTAGACTATTTGTAAAAAGAAGTATATTCATCAATATATAAAAAAATATTTTTATCAAGGAAAATAGTTACTATTCAATACATACAATTTTTAATTTACATTTATATAGCAATGTTTCATTTGAAAGATGTAAAACATTTCTTAAATTTAAATAATTTTTTATCATTTATTTGTATAAACGAATAGGAAACAATTTATTTAGATATTGTTTGATCTGAATGTACGTTGTAGATGCTGGAAATAATTTTTATGTCTCATTTTTTCACAGTTTACCTTTTCTAAACTGGATTTCTTATCTCCTTGCCAAAAAGATAGCCCAGATGTTATCTTTAATTTCTCAATAACGCGTGTAAAGTTTTTCGTCTGTAACGTATAATATCAAAACATTATGAGCTTAGAATATGCGGCTTGCTGGAAATAAGTCACAATGTCGTAGATGTTTGTATACAACAAAGAATAACTGTTCCATACTAAGGTCGAAATGATAACGATTTCTTTAAAAATGTTGAAGATTATGGCAAAAAGAAAAGTACTGGTCGGCCGTCATCGTTATCCGATCGTGATAAGCGAGCAATTTTGGGTGTAGCTTCCAACTCGCAGTTAACAATGAAACAAATAATGGAAAAATCTAGTGTTAGTGCTAGTGTTTCAAGTGTTCGTCGAGTTCTATTATCCTTTATCTATTTTCCAAAAATATTAAGAGGCTAAAATTGAAAAAGAAACCTTCGTTAACAACGAAACACAAAGTACAACGTTTACGCTTTGCAAAAAAAAGAGTGCATTGGAAAAAGAAATAGGGAAGGGTACTATTTACACAAAAAAAGATTCAACTTGGATGGTCCTGATGGGTTCCAATATTATTTTTATGATATACGAAAAGAGACAATATCAGTAATTCGACGACAAATGGGAGCAGTCAGCGTGATCGTTTGGACCGGCATCCGTTGTTTCGACAAGACAAGTATCAAGTTCATCGTTGGGAGAATGAATAGTGTCCGATACATAAATTTAATCAAAGAACAAATAAATAATCGTGCAGAACGCGTTTCTGGACCTGATTACATCTTTTAGGAAGATACTGCATCTGTATACACATCAAGATTAGTTCAATCATATTTTAATGAAAATAATATATCTATTTTGCCGTGGCCTGCACGCTCCCCGGACATTAATATTATTGAAACTATAATATTATTGGAACTATATAAATCGATACCAAATCGTACAATAGAAGTAATAGGAAATAAAGGGGAATGTACCCATTATTAAATAAGTATATATGTTTGATAAGTAATTATTGTTAGTTACAATTTATGTTGATTATTATTTTCTTATTGTACATGTGCTATCATTTCGTTCTTAAAATAAAACAATTCTTTTTGTTACACACTAAATCTCATAATATTTTTAATTATTTTCAACGAACCGCATATTCTGAGCTCATAATGTTTTGATATTATACGTTACAGACGAAAAACTTTACACGCGTCATTGAGAAATAGTACACCTGGGCTATCTTTTTGGCGAAGAGTGTATGTGTTGAGTGTTCAGAGTTTTGCTGCTATTCAAAGCGGAAGTACTGCAAAGTAAAGGAAGATGTGGTTTAAATCATATATGAAGTTTCAATCATGAGGTGTAAATAATACTAAAGAAGATGAATGTAAAACGGATAGCAGAGCAAAATTAAAGAAATTGACTTCACCAACATATATATTCATCAAATAGAAGAGAGAAATTCATATCGCTATTATCTACCCTCGTGACGTTAAAGATCTTTTTTTATAAAAAAACTTCTCTAAATTTATGAATATCATTCCCTGTTTAGCTATTTACGTATTATCTTTTTACGTAATGTTCGTACGTAGTATTGATTTTTAAAAAAAGATCCACATTTATTTTATACAATTAAAACATTCTTGTTTTCCTTTAACACGAACAATCGAAACATTTAAATGATTCACTTTGTAATTTTACATTCTTTTTTATTTTTTACATTACTTTTCTATTACACAATAATGTAGTCATCGCGTCATGTTCGTGAATCGGCGATGGCAACAGAAAGGAAATGAATTGAAACATCAAGTTTTACTATGACGTTTGTTGTACTACTTTTCCCATTATATATTTATAACTATCTATACACAAACAAATTTTTGTAAAACAAAAATTTTATAGAAAGGAAGAATATCCGGAATTTCGTATCGATCATATTATTATATATTAAATAAATAGGATCTTACGAATGTCTTAAATTCTATACAAATTTGATTTCGAAGTTATTATTTTCTATCAGACAATATGCTAATTTTAACAGACTATTAAACCTACGCAATCTACGCAGACTCCTAAGGAAGCAATTTTAGCAGATTAGATAGAACACAAGTGAAATGTCTACTCGTAGGTAGTAATTTTTCCACCTCTGCATAATATAGTGTTTCCATTCACAATTTTTACCTTCACATTGTATATGATGAAGATCAAATTGAATGCTTTGTTTCATTAGCATAGAAATAACAGCTAATGAGAAAATTGAAAAGTTAAAAGTTAAATATTCATTCTTTATATTAAATTTAGTTCTGACCTATTATAAGCATATCTTTAAATTTCACATATAATCCCCCCCCCCCAAAAGAAAAAAGTAAACGGAGAGAATGAATAATAAATAGATAGCGGACTTTTATGCATCTATGGAGAATTCGTAGATGCTGAGACGCATAGAATGTACATAATACACAGAAATATATAAAATATTCAATATAACATTCGTTATAATATCTAGTAGGTGAAACAAATCTGTACCTAGGTTCTAGCTTTTAGATGTGTTTATGAGAATATGAATTTGCATACGGATTTGCTGTCTAATAATAAAGTATGCGAAGCTTAACTATCGAAATAAAAAATAATAGAATGTGGAATATGCAAATCGGAAGAATTCCGTTGCTATGGAAGAGAAATCGTTTGAAAGGTGCAGAATAAGGATCCGAGAATTCTCACGACACGACGCGACGGCCAGCATAGCTCGAGGAGTAGTATCATTTCGCTCGATTGTACTTGAACGATGCTTGTACTTAACAATGATCTCCAAAGAGAGATTAATTAATTATGATTCCTTGGCGGCAGTGGTACTCGAGTGAAAGAGGCAAGGGTTCGGAGAGCGGAATACGAAACAGCCGAAAAAAGGCAGCGGCGGAGGAAGCGAGAGAGTTAAATGAAAGAAGTGGCAGATAAGGAGACCTCGTGTATTCCTCGTGTAAAAGGGGAGTAATACGTCGACCAAGTTGGTCAGTCGACGAATGTTCGTTGTGCCAGCTAGACTACAAGACTCAACAAGTGTTCTTGTCTCGAAGAATTGCCGGAAAATTGCAGTAAATTATAATTGTACAAGTTTCTTTTTATGGACAAAATGTGCTTTAGAATTTCATAAAATAATATCAATACTATATATGACAAATAGTTTTCTTTTTTGTTAATTCTAAACGACAGTTGTTTTTACTTAGATATTTTTGTGAACAATTAATGAAGATCATATAAATAGTCGAGTTACGATTGGTTGAGCAAATGAAGGTTATAGAATTAGGATAACATGTTATCGTGTACGTCGAAGCTGTTTTGGTAGTGAAGGATGGAATAGTGAAATAAAGTGTGCTACTGAACAACAGGCATTTGAACTGAATGCGACCCTTTGTGAAGCGTTATCGATAGTGATTTGATATGAAAAGGGAAGGAAGGAGTGAGAAATTAAAACTACATAGATGGCTGAAAATATTCTAAAATAGCTATCTTCGAGCGATTATCTTTTCAATCACGATTGCATTTGCTTAATCAAGCCAAAATCGTGAAAGCGATGATGCCGAACGAAGGAATTGACAGGTCGCTATTACGATATTAATTCATTTAAAAATACTTAATTCTGGATTTGTAAGACTATTAGGACAAATTAAAAATTAAGAACGATTCGAGATTTTCAATACGTTCGCCGACTGCTTTTCAACATTACGAAAGCGTTTCTCAAGACCAAGAAGAAAGTGATTATCGACGAATACGAGCGTATCGTATCAGAGGAAACGCGTCGACATTATTTCCGAGAAAGCGGCGAAAATCAATTATTTTCAATAAGACAAGGTCGAAGTTCATCGGACTTTGATAGTTCGGAGTAGAAGGCGGCTGTCGCAACAAGTTGAAATCCCGCCTGAGAGACGAAAGGGCTATAAGAGGAAATTCTTTCCTCGAGGTCAACGTCTAAAGGATTCTCTCGTCCCGTTTTTTTGACATCGCCACAGAGATGGCAAGAAAATCGACGAACGATACGAATAGAGCGAGTTAACGAAGCTGCTAACTAACGAGCAAAAAGAAGACGAAACGCGTAGAGAGAATCATATTTGAATGGTTTGCCTCGGATAAGGAACCCTCGTGCGTTTTATCGTTCCAGACACTGTCGAGGGCGTCGGAGCAACGACTGTATCGTCGAATGCATATGCAAATCGAGAGTGGCACTTGTGTGTCGTTCGAATAATAAGAGATGTTGTGGCTAATCGGATCGTTGGATTTTCAGATTTCGTTTTCCGTTTCCGAATTGCTGAATAAAGGGATCTTGTCCGTGGAAACGTAACGCTAGTATGTTTTAAATAAATGAAACTAATTTGTTTTCTGATACCGTATGGATCTTTTTAATTCGTGTATAAAGATAAGAAAAGGATTGATGTTGTAACGAAGGAAAGTTTTGCAGTTATGAGAAGTGCTATTCGCTTGAAAATGATTCGATCAAAAATTTGTTGTTATTCATCTTGATTAATAAATGGAGAATTTCTATTAATTATGGATAATAAATTTAATCACAGTACGTGGTTGCTTCTGTTTTAGAGGAGGTACTTTTTATGGAGTCAATGGAAACCATTGGAAAATTCCTGACTGGTAAATATTTGTTTTACGTATTTTTATGCAGCGATGCTGAAAATATTGAGTACGACGTAAATGGAATCTCGTACAAAAATTTCCAAGTGCATAATTGGATTATGAATTTTAAAGAGAAGAGAATCGAGACGTTGTGATTTTACGTGAAGATACGATGACTAATATTGATACCGACACGTAAGTACGATATATATTTAACTCAAATCTAAAAAATTACTTAGAATTTTATATATACGTATACGTCGTATACAACGATCAGAGTATATTGTAAATATCTTGCCATTATTAAGCTCAAGTGTTCTTTAATGACATCATTTCCTTTTTTTAAAGCGTGTTCATTCCATCTTGCATTTCACTTATTGAAAACATGTCACAACGAAGGAGTATATGAACACGATACAAAATGGACGATTCTCTAACAAACGGCACAATTTTTGATCTCGAATCCGGAGATGGGAGCCTCAAGCATTTTCCACGATCAGTTACTATGGCAGCTGCGATTTGTGCGATAATTTTTAGCATCGTCGGAGTTGCGGGTAAAATCCAGTTTCTTCAACTTTACGCTTGTAATATGTGTGATCATGAATGAGGTTCTTTAAAAATTACCTTATCGTAATTGCGTATACATTACTCTTTGTCACAAACTATAAATAGAAAAGCTGCAACGAAATTACAAAATTAATTAATCAAATATGGAAGATACAGAAAATTAAGTCATTCATAAGTTTATGAAATACGATTTAGAGCAAAGATTAAATTTGATCATAACGTTCGTAAAAGTTTGAAAAATTTATTTTAAAGATTCTATTGTTGGAAGAAGCTCCAGAAATATTTGTTATAGTATACGAAGAAAATAGCATACAGATGTAAGTTCATAATGGATAAACCCTTAATTGGACGTTTAAATTCTATGGTTAAGTTCTCGTTGACCCATGGGTGGCATTTCTCGGTTTATGACTTATTAACGCCCCTAATTTATGCCAGAGAGTGTCAAGAATTAGACCGATTAATATCTCCTTTTTCAATTGTTCACTTGCTTCTGCACTCTCTTTATGGTGGCAATGTTTCAGTTGCAATCAGGAGAATTATTTTGAAGAAATACTTTCAGAAATTCGTTGTTAAATTTCTCTGTATATCTTTTTAAACACAATACTATTCACATGTTTGAGAATGACAGAGCGTTGAACTAAAATTCGAATAATCATTTATAATAATCGAATAATTTCATAATAATCGAATTAATCATTTATCTCTGAATGAAATTCTTAAAAATGAATACTTATAGCTTCCACTTTACCCTTTTTACATTTCTTAACATTTTCTTACATTTTAGGTAATTTGGTAACGGTGATAGCACTGTTAAGATATACAAGGCTGAGACGGCATGCTACGACCGCATTTGTGATAAGTCTTAGTATTTCAGACTTGATTTTCTCTGCCGTAAATTTACCATTAACTGCGAGCAGATATTTGAAGGAGGCGTGGGTACTGGGTGAAACCCTATGCAAAATATTTCCGCTCTTCTTTTATGGGAATGTAGCAGTGTCTCTGCTTAGTATGGTGGCGATTACGATCAATCGGTTTGTATAAAATAGCTTTAATCATATTCGTTATAGACTTAGAGCATATTAAGAATTATTCTATTATTTCTAATACTTTGGCGTATAACGAGACACCTGGTCTCGACAAAGTGCTTGGTTCAGTTTATTTTGAGATATGCTGACGAATTATACTATTGATTTTACAAAGTCAGCATACTTCTGTGGAACTTAATCGTTTATTGCTCATCTGAATAGGATCAAATGTACGCATGATAAATCCAATACCAACAGCTGCTCCTGATATTGTATTAAATTATCGGCCTCATTGAATTTGCATCGATACCTTTATTAAAAAATTACAACTATTCGTTGAAAAAATGTTTTAAAGACACAAGTCTGTCTGCTGATATTTTTTTCAAAATAATGTTTCGCATCTACTATAATATAAAATTTATCATATTTCTTCTAAACCATGGAAACGTATCGTAGTAGAGAATAAAGTTCTAAATTCGTAAGTAATTATGAAATTAAAGGAACGATACTCTTAAGAATTGAGATGAAAAATGAAATGAAAATCAAAATTTTCGCTTACATCACTGTGATTTTTAGTCCGCCAAATTATGAACAGATACTAACTGCATTAACATCGATATTCTTTTTTCTATAAATATAAGGGACTCTAGTATATTGCCAAAGTGTTAGAATAAATCCGCTTCTAGTAACAATTGCAATAGCTCAAATAAATAAATAATAAATTATTGGGAAAGGAACTCTAAATGTAAAACTGATTAATCGATAAATTTCAGGTATATACTGATCTCGAGATCAGAGATATACGCTCAATTATACACCACGCAACGGATTATTCTAATGCTGATCGCCATTTGGACGCTGAGTTTCTCCCTACTTTTGCCACCATTACTCGGTTTGTGGGGGACACTCGGCTTAGAACCATCTACATTTTCCTGTACGATTCTAAAGAAGAATGGTGCGAGTCCAAAGAAATTCTTGTTCGTTCTAGGATTTGTCGTGCCTTGCGTGGTAATAAGCGTATCTTATCTTTGCATTTATTGGCGTGTAAGAAAGAGCAGAAAGAATCTGGAGGCTCATACTGGAGCCTCCAGGAGGAAAACTGGAGGATTTCAACGAAGAGAGGATTCCAGAGTGACCAGATTGATGTTGACCATATTTTTGTGTTTCCTTCTGTGTTTCATGCCACTGATGCTGGTCAACGTGATCGATGACAAAATAAAAGTCCCGGTTTTCCATGTGATAGGTTCTGTACTTGCGTGGGCCTCCTCTGTAATTAATCCTTTCATCTATGCTGGCACTAACAAGCTGTACAGAGAAGCCTATAAGCAACTTTTGTGTCCAGTTTCTAGCAAACTACCGACCACTGGACCGAAACCGACGCATTCTCATTCGAGTAAAGTATCGTCACCTCAAGCCACTTAAAATTCAATAACTTTATATTCCAATAGACGGTTTATTGTTGTCTGAAAGACCTTTTTTTATCTACTTAGGTACTAATAAATATCACGACATAGGTATATTGAAAATTATTCGAAATTTGCGTAATAAAAATATTCTAAAGGTATTTTCGTGACATCTAAATTATCTAAAACGGTTAATGGTAAAAGCGAAACAAGTGAAAGATGTTTAAAAATTTTAAAGTAGACAGTAAGAATAGTAGAATAAGTACTTTGACCAAAGCTGTATATTTTATTAAAAAAGAAGTTTATGTTTCAATTATCTATAGTGAAACTTCTCTCGATTAATTTATCTTTTGAGGAATGCGGATAAACAAATCCTTGCGAGGAGCAATAAGTGTACGTAATTATTACAAATAATTCAGCTTAGTTTTATTTCGTTGGGCATTTATTAGGATAAATTTAAATAATGATTTTTGTAACTTAACTTCATATTGCAAACAATTGTATCTGTACATTAATATTAATATTGCTTCTTTATGCTTATGTTAATAACAAAAGTAACATAAAGATTGAAAAACATAATACAAGTATTATACTTGCTAGATCAATTGTTGCGAAACTAATTAGCGTAGTAACGTTAAATTATAATTTTTTCATTTACAAGATTTCTGTGTATGCGATACTGAGAAGCACATGTACAAAGCATAAAATCTCACACTAATATTCTGTGTAAATATATTATAGGAAATAAGTTATGATAAATAATACTATTTAGAATGAAATACGTTGTGTCGTATTTTCTAGTTATAATAATTTCTGTAAAGTCTGATCTATGAAATAAAGCAAAAACCAATAAATTTTATATATACATATTAAGTAATATAGAAATTACAATATTATAATACTTTCTCTACTTCTTGTTCGATTTTAAAGTTTAATAGTAAAACTTTGTATAATTCCAGTTTATCTCATTTTATCTATCGACAATGATTTATTATTTGTAGATAATGTCTACACGAAAACCTAGATATAGCATAGGTGTATTACCTAATAAATCTTTTTATCCTACTCTACTATTTTGTGTCATTTCCAACATTACCGATTGAGCGCAGAATGAGATTCAACCATCGACAGAGTACAGAACCTTCGATGTTCAATTCCATTTCTGGTGATTAGAATTAAAGTTGAATAAAAACGTAATCGCGCTCGCAACCAATCAAATTGTATCATTTGCTATATAATTTAAAATTGCATCACCTGTAATGAAAATAGTAATTAAATATCAAATAATATCGATTGCACAGGTCTCACCATGTGGAGGTTGCTGCGTATGGAGACCTACTTTAACCACATTTTACCCATATGCTTTTCACGTACGAGAATTTACCCACCTAAGATATAAATTTGTAAATAAATTCTCAATTATAAGCAACCTTTAATATCACACTCTCAGTTCAAAACTCAATAACTGATTCTTATACAGGTTTTGTAGAAATGAAATATAAAAACCATCGTAGCGTAATTTTACACCTCTGGATTGATAGAAATTGATAAAAAAAGTTCGTGCAAAATTGACTTTGAGCATGATTTTCAAGGTCAGCATTTTTTTTATTGTAGTATATTCTATTTATCAGGGAAAAGAATGTTAAAGTTTTAATAATTTTTAAATGGCTTTATTCACAATATGTCTACATTCTGCAGTCAGAACGTAGATTTATTTGCATGTAGATATTATTGCCCTAGATCCGCCATGTGAGGAACAGGTTTGCGTTTTATCCAAACATTTTGTTTAACAATTGTCGTACCGATTGACTATAGTGAGATGAAGGCGTATACCAGAGTGCATACAATGGATGAAATGACAACTCTGGCGTGGTATAATTTCGCATAATTCAGTTAAAAGGTATGAGCGTAGAAGTCACAAATATATTGCACTTGTAATTGATGTAAGTAAAAAGATACAGCCAATAATATAATATCCAATAATTCCTGCCCATACGTTTATAGCGAATCATTCGTGGTTAAATCCATCAAACATTGCATGTAAATTTCTTTAAGTTCAAATCCAGGCATTTCGTCCATAAACTTTCATCCGTAAATAATACATGTTGATAATAATAATACGTTATAAAAAGTGCAGAATCCATTGCAACTTATGTAGCACTCAATGACAAAATCTTCGTCGAATGCATAGTTATTTGTATACAATACTAATTCCTGATCACTTAGTTGTTAACTTAGCCGCTGAAAATCGCATTGTCATGGAATATCTTGTGAACGCAGAGATCTCCCATTATTCCCATATTCTGATACTCTTGATTTCATTGCTTTGTAAATAGCATGCTACTTTCTTATTAAATGTGAATATAAATGTAAATACATTGTAATAAAGCCAGTTTGAAAATTATTAAAACTGTAACATTTTCTTCCAGAAAACGGGGTCATTTATGACCTATGGTTGGTTTAATACTTTCGTTCTTCGTGATGAGTAGAATACGTTGCAATAAAACGATTTTCACTTTTCAGTTAGTAACATTATATGCTTTGTCTTCCGCTCGGCACGACGGAACCGCTTTATATTATACGTATGCGATTGTTAGTCGTCAGCATTGAGTATCACTGTCGCCGTCGCCGCATATTTTGCCAAATTATTTGACTTTAATATTAGAAACGAAACATGATAGCACTTTCTAATATCATTTGGAACACAAATTTTTCTAATGTATACCATTTTACTTGGAAAAGTCCACAAAATTTTTTCGTTTCAATAGCAATTGAATAGGAGCTACAGTAAAAGCACAAAACATTTTCAAACTTGAAAATTTGCAATTTGAAGAAATCTGTATTCAACTCACAAATATTTAGAAGCATCGTGTATCAAAGGTTACAAAATCGGAAAAAAATTCAAATTTGTTTATCAGTGTTATTTGAATGTATAATAATCATAGACTTTTCGGGATCTTTTTACAATTTATATCCAAGCAAACTTCTACCAAGATGTAAGTCTACAAGACATTAAACTCTTTCATTACTGCTAGCTATCGTTACATATCTATCACTTAACTCATATAGTTTGTAGTACACTGCAGAACACTTTCCATGCATACCTGTCTGTAGCTTCTCTTTGATAACTGGAAATAGGCATCGTCTAAGAAACAGTTATTATTTCGTTGATTCTACATATTCGAAGTACACGTTGTATTTTTACGAAGCAGTAAAATAATTACACTCATCGACGAATCTTGATTACATGGTATACAAGCTGCGTGTTATTTATCGTGCATTATTAATGTCCCGTTTGATGGAATACGAAGAAAAGTACGATACCATTCTAAACTGATAGTAACATTGAACATCATCAACCGACAATACTTTATATTTTGCAACGTGTTAAAAAATACAGCAAGCTTTTATGGTACAAGTACCCTATTTGTGTATGTGTGTATGTACTTTGATTGCAAAGTACCGTTCGCATTACATTCTTACCCTTCGTGAATTACTGGTCTCCACGTGAAAAATAATAGAATACTTAGACGGTAAAGCTAGAATAGAACACCTAGTGTACCGTACTAACGTCTTTTTAATATACACGTAGTCGACGTAAAAACAAGATGGGAAAACGAGTTGTACAGTTAGAGAGAGCGATTTTCTTCACGAAACTCAGCGTCGCTTTGACGTGTTCCTGGCCGCCTTCCCCTTTGACAACTAAAAATCGACTTCTGTTATTTAATACATTATGGTGCACGGCGTTTGCTAGTTCTGTGGCGTTATTCTTACCATTGTTGGTCGCGATTTACGAGTACTACAAAAGTCCTATTATTCTTGGAAAAACAGTGAGTCTTGCCTCGGCTGTTGCTCAAGTGGTAATCAAAATGATAATATGCCGTTTGCAGCAGAGACGTTTTCAAGTAAGTCGATTATTCTTTTTCGGATAAAGCACAAATAAAATTTTTTATTTTCCGTAGCTGCTTGAGTATGACATTCCTGTGTATTTATATTCTTTGAATTTTATTTTACTCACGTATCGCCGTATCACTTTATTTTATTATCTATTCGTAGCAATTATTGGTTTCCAACTTTCAAATCAAAGCAAGAGAAATGTAATAATGTAATCATAATTCCTAATAATATGTAATGATATATAATAATAATAAATAGAGGATCGATTAAAATATTTTAATTAAGCGTTGTCGGTAAAATAATTTCAGATGTTGTACTTCGATATGGAAAATTTCTGCAAGCACGCCACAAAAACGGAAAGAATGGTCCTGGAGCGATACGTGGATAAATATAAATATTTCCATTGCATTTACATACTATGGTCTTTCATAACCACGGCTTTCGTCATATGTGGCCCATTATACTCGGCTCAAACGTTTCCCACGCATGCGATATATCCGTTTTCAGTGAAGCACCAACCATATAATAGTCTAGTTTTCTTCCATCAATCGTTGGTTGGTTTCCAAGCATCGTCAGGTATGGGCATCGATACTCAAGTTGCTCTTCTTTTACGATACGCAACTGCCAGGTTCGAGCTTTTAGGAATCCAATTACGCAACGCGAAGAATAACAGTGAGCTCAATGTCTGCATACAGAAACATATTGAACTTTTAAGGTATAATATTACAAACTATTTTATGTTGAAATGACTGTCAAATATAATACTATACGATGCGTCTGTTACGCGTTAGAATAATCATTCAACTATATCTATAAAGCCCCGTTTAGATTAGTCAAGTTACTCGAATTTGAGCAAGGAACTTGATCTTCAATTCGAGTTACTTGATTTTCATGTACTCTGTAATTATTAAGACCAAGTTATTTGACCAGTATTTACTTTTTGTTAGTAGCACAGTTTCCGTGTTAATTAAAAATATTGTGTGTAATAATACATAATTTGCATAACTTCGATATACATATTTAGGTATACGAAAGAAATTCGCTTATCTATAAAGTATCTAGTTCTGGCGACAATCGCAACAACTACTATCGCCGTGATTTTTGGTAGCTTAAACTTAATCGCAGTAAGTAAACGTTTCTTACTTTAAGTACGATAGTTGAATATATAAATGATGGTTTCGAAATTTTATATAGAACCAACCGTTAATTTTGAAAACTCTATACGCTATCGTAGTGTTCAGTGCCAGCGTGGAACTTTTCATGTACGCTTGGCCAGCCGATGGAATGATGCGTATGGTAATGAAATAATCATAGTGCATATTTCAATTAACAGCGTGAAACGATGAATTTCATTTTATCGTAGAGTGCGAGAGTTGCTACAAGCATTTACGACACGGCTTGGTATAAGAGAGATATCAGCGTGCAAAAGAAAGTATTCCGCATTATTTTGAGATCTCAAAAACTTGAAACTATTGGGATCAGCGGTGTTGTACCGCAACTTTCGCTGTCTCATTACGCGAAGGTAGTATGTTTGTTGCATTCTTGCATTCATGATTAGGTACTAATTATTTTCTTATCTCTTCTAGTATCTATACACATCTTTATCGTACTTTAACGCACTGCGTATTATGGTCGGAGATCCATCTTCACTTTAAGCTCTATGGAGGAAAATATATTACGAAAGATATCCATGGAAGTAATCGCAAATTGTATCTATGAGAATCTTCATGAAAATTTGTCTTTCATGTAAACGATATACATATATGAAGAAGTTATGTGACGTACAAAGATTCAGATGGCCAATTTACTGCAGCAATGGAGTTTTCTTCTTTTATTTTCTACAAACATGATTATGTTACTATTGAGAAACGTTAAGTTGGTATGATCCTACGAGCTAAGTTGGTACGACTCCTAACGATGCTCTTTTGTCTTAGGAGTCGACCACGTGTTAATTATCTAAATACATCCGGTGTGTTCAGACGTTTTGTACGAGGTGGTGAAATATAGAAAGTAAAATTCGATCTGAGTGAATCCATTAAATATCAACCCCAGACCTATACTGAATAACAGTTACCGAGAAATTACCATATAACGACGGACGAAGAAGATATGAATCCCGAGGAAGAAGTAGAAGCGAACCAACGATACGAATTAACGCCATCACTGGAAGACTCCTCAAAATTACCATCGGATCAAAACTTGGACTAAAGCGATATTTAATAGACACGGGTGCCGGAATAAACATAGTCAAACGCTCAAAAATCATTTCCACTCCGTTAACAGACGACAAGAAAACATTCTTTATGGACAATGACAAATACGAGACAGACGAATACATTTACCTTAGAATCTGTGACAAAAGAAACAAATTCTACATAGTACCTGACGACTTCCCACTAATTGAAAACGGAATCATAGAGTTATCAATGCTGGAAAACTATCGATACAAAATTACAAACGACCAAATCCAACTCAACGATCATGTATTCTTATTTCAGCCACCACAGGTAATTTCTCCAGGACAAACCAAAGTCGAAACAATTTATCTGGACAAGAGACCAACGCGAGTATGCTTCTGCAATACTGGTGAGTAACCAATACCAATTTCTAACGATCTTTCTAATGAAGTTGATCTCGAACAAATTCAAAAATTCAAAAACATAATTAGAACAAGCCATATTGAAAACAACTTCCGCATTCCTATCGAAAAAATCCTCTTACACTACATTGACGTATTCAACTTAGACACAGACACTTTACCATGCACCGATTTAACAAAACATATCATCACATTGAAGGAAAACAAAATCATAAATACAAAATCTTACAGACCACCCGAAGCACACAAATTAGAAATCGAAAAATAAATCAAAGAAATGTTAAACAAAAACATAATCGAAGAATCAGACTCACCATACAATAGTCCAGTATGGGTAGTCCCCAAGAAATCGGACGCCTCCGGAAAACAAAAATGGCGCATAATGAAAGATTTCTGTAAATTAAACGAATTAATTGATCAAGACGCGTACCCTTTGCCAAACATTGATGATATACTCTCACAATTAGGAAACGCGAAATTCTTTTCCGCACTAGATCTCTCTTCTGGTTTTCATCAAATACCAATGGATGTAACGTCAAAGAAATATACAGCTTTTAGTACGCCTCAGGAACACTTTCAATACAATCGAATGCCATTTGGATTAAAAAACGCCCCAGCTACATTTCAACGCATAATGGACACAGCACCTCGCGGTTTATTAAATAAATATTGCTTCGTTTATCTAGACGACATGATAATATTCGGAAGTACGATTCAACAACATAACGACAACCTTGCCATTGTATTACAGAGATTAAGAGAATTAGGACTAAAGATTCAACCAGACAAATGTGAATTCTTAAAACCAGAATTAGAATACCTTGGACATATTATCACATACGAGGGAATAAAACCAAACCCGAAAAAGATAGAAGCAGTCAAAGAATTCAAAATTCCCAAAAACTCAACCACTAAAAATCATTTTTAGGACTAGCAGGATATTATAGAAAATTCATACGTAACTTTTCGAAGATAGTCAAACCTCTGACCGACCTGACAAAGAAAGACATACCCTTTCATTGAACAGACAAACAACAAGATAGCTTTCAAACTCTCAAAGATGCATTATGCAAAGCCCCAGTATTGACATACCCCAACTTTAACGAAACATTTACATTAGCAACCGACGCCTTTAACGAAGGAATGGGCGCTGTTCTTTCACAAAGCGACTATCCTTGTTGTTACATCTCCAGAACACTAAATCCTCCCGAAAGAAATTATTCAACCACTGAAAAAGAACTCCTTGCAATCGTATGGGTAGTAAAACGTTTAAGACAATATTTGCTAGGAAGACATTTCCTCATAAGAACCGACCACCAAGCTTTAACTTGGCTTAAAAACTGCAAAGATCCCTCATTACAACTGATTAGATGGAGATTAAAGCTAGAAGAATACGATTACGAAATACAATACCACAAGGGAAAGGATAATACGGCTGCTGACGCACTCTCGAGACAAACTATTAACAATTTGACGACTGAAGACAATCTCCTTGACGAGTATAGCAAATGGCAACAAGACACCGACACACTTCCTAAACGACTCAAGATAGTTCCCAACGAAAAATCCATCTTCCATATAACAAAAGAAACTTTAGGACCCTATGACAAAGAGAAATGAAAATGGTTAAAGAGGATCATGGAATCAGCTACAGAACATAAAAAGTTAGGCAGGTTAGGAGACAAAAACTTCGATGAAATCGAAAAGGCACGAATAAAAACATTTTTGATATATGTTAATGACAAAATAGAAGAAATAACCTTTGCATACAACCCGATTCAAATTTTAACAGACGAACAAGTTGACGCGATTATAAAAGAAAACCATAACGACGTTTTAGGACACTTAGGTGTACCGCAAACTTACGCAAAAATCAAAGAACGATTTTGAAATCCCACATTCGTTCTCAAAAGTAGAGAAATTTATAAAAAATTGTGTAGCATGTGCAATTGTGTAGCAGAAACTTGTCAAAATCCGCGCGAAGGAAATTCCCGTAATACCTCAAACTCCCACTGAACCAAACGAAAAAGTAGCAATGGATATAATTGGTCCCATGCCAAAGACTAAACGAGAAAGCCAATATATACTCTCTATTCATGATGATTTGACCAAATACCTGATATTAACACCTCTCAAGACACAAACAACCGAATCCATAATATTTGTCTTATGGAATCATTAGATTTACATCTTCTCAGCACCTAAAACTATACACAGACCAAGGACAGAACATTGTTAGCGAACTCATGACGAAGTTCGAAGAAGCATTTAAAATAAAACATAAAACACACACAACGGTAAAAGACATGATACGAACAAGTCTGAACGACTCAGACAAAGAATGGGACGAAGTATTAAACCTCATATACTTAGGATATAACACAGCAATACACGATGCAACCGGTTTTTCACATTTGACCTAACTTTTGGACGAAAAGCTAACCTCCCATCCTCAATATTCTGAACCTCCAACTACACGTATGAAGAAATGTTCGCACTATGGCAAAAACAATTGGACAAATACAAAACACTAGCTAGACAAACACTTGAACAAAGTAGAAAACGCTACATGCGAGACCAACAAAGAGAAATCGTGAAAACACAAACGGTATTTAAAAAAGGAGACGCGGTTCTTGTACATAATGATCACAACGTAGATAAATTGGACGATGAATGGTTAGGTCTTTACCACATCGAAAAAGCTATGACTCCTTATTACGAGATTTTAATCAACAACCAAATTAAGAAGATACATGGTAACAGAATTAAACCATACTTCTCAGGACGCTCATTTCATGCACAACCCTCATGCTCAGATTGGAATTAATACCGATCGAAAATAACGCAATTTTCCACGAGAAAATATCTAAAGCCTATTTGTATAATGAAAAAGTTAACGTACATATAGGAATAGATGAGAGCGATATATTTAACCACATCGATACGTTAGGAAAACACATAAAAGAGACCCAAAAACATTGTACCACCTCATATCAAGTAAAATCAGAGATACTTTCCTTAACCAACAAGTCTAATAACGTCAAAACGCTAAGAACACATTTAAAATTACTATCTCATTCTAGAGTTAAGAGAGGATTGATAGACGCTGTAGGTTGAATCAGCAAAACACTTTTCGGAACCTTAGATTCTGAAGGTTCACAATTGGTAAACCAGAATATCGACAAACTATTTAGCGAAGGAAACGAATTAAAAACCATTGTAGCTAACCAAACCGCTCTAATTAGGACAATCCTAAACACCGACAGCCTAAAACAATTAGAAAAAGTAAACGCGAACATACAAAATGAAACACATCGAGTAAACAAGCGAGAACTTCTAGTAGTCAAGATTATTTCTATAGAAAGCGCTTTGTCAGATCTACACTTTCAACTCGATGAAATATTCAATTTAATTTTACTAGGAAAACAAGGAATTATTAGCCCCCAGATTATAAATCATCACACTTTCTTAGAACAATACGCTAAGGCTTTAGGAAATCACATCATAAATGAAGGATTTTCACCAGAAGAAAATAATTTCCAAAACATTTTAGACGTCTCTACACTCACACTGTTTGTCCAAAGCGAAAAGATCTTCTTTAAAATTTCAATTCCAACAATAATTGACTCAGAATGGGAAATAGAACAGGTATACTCCATATCGACTCAAAAGAACGGAGCATTTCTCGCCCCATTAGTCGAACGTCCGATATTTTTCACCTCAGGATTAACTTATATGGATGTAGACCAGATGTATTTGAACAAGCAATGTCGAATCAAACACGAATTGTATATTTGCAAACAAATTCAACCCATACATGATAGACGTTCAAAACACGAATGCGCATCCGAAATAATTAGTGTAGACAATACCATGAGATTTTGTAAATTCACAGTCTATAAGATCGTAGAAATAACTTTTATACCACTCAAAAACGAAAATCGCTACATAGCTATACCAGAAAAACCAATAGAACTCTATATAGTCGCTCAGAAAGGACATCAAATTGTCAAACTGAAGCAGCCCTCTCTGTTGAAAACTAGAATAACTGTAGATATATTGTATGGAGACAATAGAGAATATGGATTTTCATATGAGAATCAGTGGCAATCCCAAGAGCATTTCTTACGATATTAAGATCAAAATTATAAATATAACTAATGACGTAGATTTATCCTCAATGCTTGATACCTTAGAAAAGACTCCTAAAATAATGAGCAACCTAAACGGTTATACTGATACCTTGAATCAAATAGAAGATAGAGCCAATCAATTAATTTTTTCGCACAGAATAACACACATTAAAACTTGGGGTCTCACTACGTTGCAAATAATAGGATATATATCCATTGGACTCATATGCTTGTATCTGATTAATAAGATAAGAGTGCCAA